TTTTGTGACTAAATTTAAGTGAATTCATTGAAAAAGAAAGATTGTTTGCTTGGTGTTTCTTTTTTCTCTTTCTTTTTTTTTTCTAAAATAAACATTTGACAAAATGTGTTTGTGATAAACTTAGTTGACCTTTAATTTCTTGATAATCATCAAGCATAATGGTTATTCCTGTGATTACCATGAAATATTATGGATTTCAGAAATTATTACAAATATTGCAAATGAATATTTTTCAACTCGTATACACAAATCGCATTGGTTACGTTAATTAACGCGAATGTTTATTTGATTTTCATCATTATTGTAAACTTAATTTCTTTATAGATAATTGAGAATTTTACTGTGTGATATTGATTGCCTTAAACCATTACCCTACACTTGAACATAGTGCATGTCAAGTTGAGTCATCTAGACTAGTGGTCATGTTGTTACCGGATCGATAGAATTCACTCAGCCATTAGAGAACCTGACATACATGACACTGGTCACAACAGAGTTATTAATCAGTTGTGAATATATTTTAGTCCTACAGAAGGTCATCCGTGTCTCTGATAGCTCATAGGTAACATCTCTGATTGTAAAGCTAAGTGACAGGGATTTAAATCCGCGGGGGAGCATTAGTTCCCTCAAGATTACTAGTACACCTTGCCAAATAGTCGGAAACTTACCCCCAGTACAGCTGAGTGTTAAGTAATTGGAAAAAGATGAATAAAATTTTAAAATATCCAAAGAGTTGTTTGTTATTAGGGGGGGGGTTGGTTGAGAAGTGTATGCCAGAAACTCAACTCAACACGTTAAGCAATGTCATCAGGTGAACAACAGGAATAAACGAATTGTCTATTGTCACCTGACAGTGATTTACAAGGTAAGTGACATATCAAAGAGATAAAAATAAATGTAACAAAAAATTGGTAACAACTCAAGCTTTATGATCTCTTTACCTTCAATGTAACTTTTGGCTAAGTAAATTTGTATGTTTCATAGTTAAATTCTACTGATTTGAATATAACTAAGTTGGCCATGAATGTTTCCTGGTATTTGAATACTTCATATTGCATTTATCCGAAATTCACCCGAATAAAATTTTAACATGCCGATTTTTTGGAAATGAAAATGTTCTACAATAATTTAAATGTCTATCATTAAACTAAATACATAAATGACTTGAATATTAAAAAAACCCAATATCTATGTAGTATGTATAAGTAAGTATATTGCAAATAATACGCTCAGGAAATTGAAATGTCTTTTAAGTTTTAAAAATATCTACTTAAAAAAAATAAACAGTGAATTTCCTTAAATGCCCTTAAAACCTAGGTCAACTTAAACAAACAAAATATGTTTGTTTTTCTCTTATTCAATAATTTATTCCGGTTTATTTAATTTGCATACAACTCGTCATAGAACGAACTACTAGTGTTATCTGAAAACTGAATTCGTTATTTCAGTTTTTATTTCTTTATAGCCATTTCGATTTAACTATTATCAGTTTGCTCAATATAAATTTACTTGTTACTGAAAGTTTTTAAAAATGAACATAAAGCAACAGAGACTATAATCAGTTGCAGTCGCGAATAGCAAAAACATAAATTCACAATCTTTACCAATGCTTTTTTACACCTGTTGAGAAAGTTAATGGTTATTTGAACTTAGTAGCTCAGTGAGTAGAATTTTTGAAATTTGAAGTAAAAAGGACTAAGTTTACGTCTAAATGCGAACATCAATACTACAATGCAGTGACATCTTGTTGTCACATTACAACTAGAATGAAATATGTTTCTTAGATTTCATTATCATCCATATTAGAAAAGACATAACAATATAACCAGATAATCCACTCAATAGATATTGATTACTTATAATGCTGAATATCAATAGCAAGAAATGAAATACCCTTACTGAAACGGTTTAAATGTGAGTTTAATTATTATAATCTGTTGTAGACGAATGAATCAAACCCATATATATAGTACAATAAAGAAATTTAATATCAGTTCAAAGTTCACCTATATGTCCGAAGTTAGAGTTTAGATATTTTTCTGAATTTCATTCGTATAATTTATGAAAGTAAAACAGATAACACTTCACAAAGTAGTAATGACATGACAAGTTTTTTTTGACGAAATCCGTTTATTTTTACAGTATATATGTATTCAGTACTTTCGGTAGCTAGGTTATCAAGTTCACTATTTATTCCCATTAACATAGTTAAAGTCTCTCAAAAGTTTGATAGTATTTTGATGCAAATAAAAAAAATTATATTTTCTTACTGAATTTTTGGGGACGTTAGATCCGCAGAACTCCCTTGATAAATGCTTTAATTTTGGATTTTGTGTTTGGGAGTATGGGCTGATCAGTTGACTTTGAGATTTCATTTCCCACCCGGAGAATCCTTGGCTGTGATTGTCTGCTGTGTATTTTAGTGTGCTATTTTTGTGACTATCCCAAGGACGTTTTTATAATGTATGAATAAACGAGAGTCGTGTACTTGATTGCATTGTACTTGCTGGGTGTTTGTAGAATATACTTTCTACGCTGTATCAAAACATCTCGTTAGCTATTTCGAGTCAACGGATCAAGGTAGCCCACCTGGAGGCTAGTTCATTGTCTAGTTCTCGTTTATCGACTAAGGTGACCGCGAGATAGCTTCAAGTGTACCTAGTGACGAATCTAACATTTAATTTCTCCTCAAATATCAAAACATATTCAAAATTATCATTGTTAAGTTCCGAAAATTCGACTGTTAAAGGACAATATGATCTTTTAATGCATAGAAACTAAAGCATTTTCGCATAATGTTTTATCATAAAAAAATTGAGAGTTTGTCATGGATAGTCAGAGAGAATCCGTGAAAATCATTTTTAACCGATTGTAATGATCAGTGACACTTCTAATATTTGAATAAATAATTAATATGTATTGATGAGGAAAGAAAACAGCTTTTACAGATATCTCTTTTCTAGATGCTTGAATTCATAACATTTCAGCGAAAATCTCTTAAGAAAATAATTCTGTTGGAATAGATCATTTTTGTCATAATTTAAATCACTCTGAAAATTAAACAGCACATTCTGACTTCGTAAAACTAATGACTACCAATGATTTCTTCACTTAATTACTTGATCAGAAAGATCAAATTAATATTTATATAAGTGATAGAATAAATATGTTCTATTACAGGTTTGCTTTCCGACATCTTTATTCTTGTAGGTATGCACATCTTGTCATGCAGTGGAATTATATTCTTGTAGTTTTTAAATGTTACACATGGAGATTGTTCTAACAGAAAAGTGAAAAAAAAGTTTCTTATCTGAGAATCTAGTTAAAATAAATATTTATCTTCTCTTTTTAAAGTAGCCTATTATTGTCTAAGCTCATCGCTTTTATATGATAAATATGTTCTTATTTGTTGTTCATATATAACTAAAAGTTTACTAGTTATATGTAGTGTTGAATCGTTTTTGTAATTAAAAAAAAATTTGACTTAAAGAAAAAACAACAACAATATTTTTATCATTTGATTATGAAACGTTGTAATGAGATGAGATGAAATTGCGCATATTATAATTCGATTTTAATGTTAACGTTTAAATTGCTTTAGGTTAATAATGAAATGTGACACAGTTTATGCTATATTTGGTTTGAATAAAATTTGCTTTGATATAAAATGCTTTATAATTCATAGATGTAATTATTTCAAGATGTTTGCATGAAGTTTTCTTGTTAAAATGGCAGTAACAATAAGTATCAATAATTCCGCACTAAAAATGACTAGTTTGGTGTCTTAATAATAGGGCCCTTTTTCCACAACGTAGGGTTGTTTAATCGAAGCCTAATCTACTTCTCTGACTAGAGCTCAGGGTCGGCTGTAACTCAAGAAGGGCTTTGGATGCAGTTAAAAAGACTAGTACCAATAAATAATTTGCGAGAACATCATATATCCTTGATAAACAATACTTATACACGTTTACTGAAAACTATATGCTCGTAATCTGATTCAGCACAAAGGAATGTACTAATGAAGCTTTTCGAGGAAACATGCGAAGTTTTGGTTCTAAACAAATTTATTTCAATATCACTTTTAGCTAGAAATCTGACTTTGTTTCGTAAAATTATCCTTTCACAGAATTTTATATTCACAGAGCTTTGTAAACAAAGTATTAGTAAGTAATGCCTGAAAAGTGAACTATTTCTTTTTCATCCGTTTAATTCTTTGCCAAATTAAACCAAAAAATTCAATAGATTCAAAAAAATTATAATGCTACTTTTTTTGGTATGTTAACTTTTCATACTTTTGTATTCATCGAGAACAGCTGATTTATGGTAGCAGAACAAAATTATTTGATTGGCTCAAAATCAAAATATAAGAACTTTTGTATGATAAAATTACTTTTCCGGTTCATTTTCACTATACTCTTGTTTGGATGAGGTTTGAGTGAAATAATTTATTTCTGAAATAACTCATAAAGCTATCTTCCAGCAAACTTAAACACTAGATGAAGACACAAAGAGTAAAATTTTCTTTTCATTGAACTTGATACAAAACTTTTTCTGGATTACAAGCTAAACAGCTGTTTTAGACATGCACAGTTTCATTCTTATTTGATTGCAAGAATAAATCACTGTTTTTTTTTTCAAATAAAGCAATTCATTGTTTGGATCCATTGGCGCTTAATAATTATGTAAATATTTCTTATACCATATGTATGTTAAGTTTTCGAGTGCCATAAAATTATATTTGCTTATATACGAATCGATTTGGGCGTACTAATATTCGTAAATAATTGATTTCGTCTTCATGTAGTCTATTTATCATTCATTTATTTTTAGTAATAAAAAATGTAAGTCAATGGTAATGAATAAATAACAAAGAAACAAAGAATTTTTTTGCATAATTTGCAGCAGTTGTACAATAATTTGATGAACTAGTAAAAATATAATACAAATGATTTGGTAATTTTCAATTTTTATTGTTTTATTGTTTTTTTCTCTATGTTAAGGTTACATCAGTATGGTTAACTGTTGCATTTGCTGCTGATCGTTACCTGATGATCTGTCATCCATTCTGGGCTAAACGATGGTGTACAATGAAACTGGCCAAAATTATCATTGTTTTAATTTATGTATTTAGTGTGATTTATGGAATTCCACGTTATTTTGAATATAAAGTATTTGAAATGAATATACCATTGAATCCTAATTTATTACAACTTCAATATGGTGATCTTACAAATAATGGTTTATTTGTACAGAATTCATCAACTTCTTCGTCTGTAACTTTTAATAATGATTTAATTGAAAATGAAATTACCAGTGATTCTATGACAAGTATCTCCATTGTTTGGTATCAATTAACATCATTCGGTGAATCAGCTCAATTTCGTAAAGCTTATCATTTATGGTCATGGGTTTTATTAGTTGTTGGCATACCATTCATTCTGATTGCTATTATGAATACATTTCTAATTTTAGAAGTACGTAAATCAAGTAGAAAATGCGTTGATCAAACTAAACGATCTGAATATCGACGACAGGATACAAATATTATGCTTATCGGAGTAATAATTATATTTTTTATATGTCAGGTAAGATTAATGAAACATTGTTTCATATTGTTTTGGCTAAATAATATAATACAGATGTAAAATAGTTATATGACCAAACTTCATTCTAGTTGAATTCTCAACACAATAACTGCCTACTGTTCCAATTCAAAGTAGGTGAAGGAAAGTAGGCGAAACACATGTTATTCATTAAACATAATGATGAATGTAAATAACATTGTGTTATGTAAAAAAGTAATCTCTCTTACAAGTTGGTACTGAATGGAGAGAAACATTGAAAAAGAAAGAAGCAGTTCAATTGATTTAAATGTGGTTTTTTCGAACTCATGGACCGATCATTGTAAGATCACCATTAGAAACCTGGGAGCAATGGACGGCCGTTTTTCGCCCGGGTATGGAAGTTATCAGCAGTGCACATCGACGACTCCAGCAACTCGGAGGGTTCGAACTCAGGACTTTCGGCTCTGTGCGCGAACGTCTAATCTCTGGAACATTGAGCAAGTGTATCCAACGGTGTTAATGTCTAAATGTGGATGGAAATTAGATGATGTAATGCTTATAGTAGCTGTAAAATATCGATATCTTTTTGCTGAACTTTCGTGTTGATAACAATTTACACAATCTTACATAATCGTGTCACATCTATGAAGGATTAGCTAATTTCGTGTTTCTTTCTGATATTTTCGTGAGAAAATTTGAGAATATTTATAAATTTTTTAGTTTCAAAACGTGACAAAAATAGTGATCAAAAGTACACGATTAAAGAGTAAAAAATTTCTGTGAGCGATGAAAAGTTTAAATATTTAACCATCATAACAAAATAGACTACAGATAAAAGTCGAATTATTTTCCAATTTTAAAATGTACCGCCAAGTTACATACACAGTAAAAGTATGTGCTGATATGTAAAGTTATTGATCATTGATCGGGAAATTCTTAATTATTGATATCCTATAGAAGAAAAAGAAGTATCCATTCAGCTGAAGAATCTGAATTGTCTTACGTTTCCAATTAAAATGAACTTTTAAACTATGTAGATACATTAAAAATTAGTTTATTCAGTGAACATTTGTCATCACAATATTTAAATTCTCATGATAATTTATTTTCAATGTCTGCATTGATCAAAAGTAATTAACACTATGAAAAGATACTTTGTTACATTATAATTTGTAATTAGATCTATTGTACCATGCCGTACTTAGGGTATACAAACAAATTTTATGTTTGAAACACTGGTTATTTTGGGTAAATTACTGAAGATCGCTTGATGAAATCTTTTGAATATGCTAAACTGAATTTTTAGACGTTTTTATTATGAATGAATATTTTGATTATTGAAAACATTGTTTACTCTTACATTAGCTTCCGGCTGCTGTGAGTCATATAGCTTGGGGCCTTATCACAATGGAAGCCAGTAAAAAAATGTCATGGTTTCTTTTAAATGAAATTGGAAACTTATTGATTATTGTCAATTCAGCCATAAATCTTCTACCATACTACATGTTTAGTCGAAGATTTCGTCGACATTTTGTTCGAACATTTTGGCCTTATCGATGTGTTCGAGATAATGGATTACATTGTATCTATATTCCAGAATGGGCTACAAGATCATTGAACAATAATGATGATGGTGAAGATTCAGAATTAGCTGGTACAGTAACACAATACGGTTATAATCATAGAACAAATTTAAGAAATTCAAATTATCGTTTAAGTATTTATCGTAATAATAGTTCTAGTTCACGTTCAAGGCCTAGTCTTCCGTCAAATATTAGAGCAAGCAGTGATTCACAAAAATTATTTTCTCACATTTTTAGACCTATCTTTCATATAAGACAAAAACGAACTAAAGCTTCAAGTTTATCATGTGAATTAAAACCAATACATGTAGAAAAAGGATTGTTATCTAAAAGAGTATTGCTTGATGATTGTAAAACAATTGATGATCCTAAATTAAACAATCATTTGTTGGAAGATATTAACTGTTCCAATACTATTACTACTACTACTACTACTACTACTACTACTACTACTACTACTAATACTAATACTAATAATAATAATAATAATAATAACAATAAAAATTTAAAATCATCTAGTTCATACACACTACCTTATCGTGGATCAAATTCATCGCATTCTTCTGTTAGTTTTCTTGTACTTTCAGATAAAAATATAACTGGTAAAAATTTGAAATCCATACGAAAGAAAAAATCGATCAGTGATTTCAGATTTGATGATACTAAACGATATGATCGTAAATTTGATAAAAATTATGAGAAAAAAGTTAAGAATCATACAACTCTCACTAACAGTAATAAAACTAACAACAATAACAACCCCAATGCAGATAAACACAACAGTATTCCAATCAAAACAAATCAACTTCATAATAGTAACAATAATAATAATAATAATCTTAAAAAATCACCTTTAATCTATCTTCAAAGTTTAGAAGAAATGTCCAGTAATCCTGATGAATTGAGTTCTGTATAGTTGACTGTTTAGTTCTTTTTCCAGTTTATTTCAAAATTTTTACAACAACATCAACAACCTTTAAACTGATAAATAGATACGATTATTTGTACAGTAAAAAAAGAATATGATTGAAATTACTTTTATTGTAATGTTTTATTTTTCTTCTAAAATATCTATATATATATTGTATATAAACATTAAACTGTGATTGTCCCATGTCGTATATTTTGTTTTGTGTTCCTTTCTTTGTCTTTTTTCTGAAAAAAATAAAATATCTGTGATTGTCGATTATTTAAACGAACGCATTCAATGATCACTGTTTAGTTTTCTAATCCACTCATTTTCCATGTTTCTTGTTTTTTTTATGAAATAACTTTCTCAAGTGTATTGTCTCTCTCTCACTCATTCACTCACTCACTCTCTCTCTCTTTCTATACAAATATAAAAGATAACAATATGAATATTTACAACTAAATCAATGTTAAATCTATGAAATGAACCATACACACAAATGGATAATTCACAATCATTAAAATTATGTACATGAAATAATGGTACAATCTATTCGCAACAATAGTGTTATCATCATAATCACTATTATTCATTATTGTATAAAAATTCTAAAAGAAAAAAAATAAAACAGAGAAAGATTATATAATACATATCATCAACACAAGAATTATTGTGTATATGTTTCATGTTTCATTTTAATGTTCATCTAGTTGTAATCAGATATGTAAATAAAAATTTATGTATTAATAATAATAATAATAATAATAATAATAATAATTTTACACTAGTATTTTTTATGTATGCAAAGTTTTTTTCTTCTGTATAAATGTTTACTGTGTGAGAGTTATGAAATGTAACATAACTAATTGTTTTTTTTTTACATTTAATTAATTAAAGAATAAGTATAAAAATTCACTGACATTATGATTTATACAGAGTATTAGAAAATGTATTGATTAAAATTGTTTGAAGGTAAATAATATATGTTGCTTCATTAAAATGAACGAAACCGAATCAGATTATGTGATTGTAATAAGCATTTACCGAATTATTATTCATCATTAAAATGCATCAATCAAATACACCTCTATTAGTCAGTTTATATAAATTCATAATATACAAAAATGTAGATATGTTGATAATACAATAGAAAGAAATGTGGCCTCAGGTTAATTAATAATGTTTCTCTTAAAAAAAGGTATCATTGAGTGGTGTATTGGTATGTTTTATAATAAAGGAGTATAATTAATTGATTTTGAGTAGATTGAAAGTGTGTGAGTATATGACCAGTATTCATCATAAGCAAAAGTACAACGCAATTCCCGAGAATGAATGTTTATCAGAAATGTAGATCAATGAACACTTTGAGATATATATATATATATATATATATATATATTTGTAAGTATAGATAAAATCAAGAGCTGATATAATTTTGCAGGCAGATTCGATGGACTACTACGAGTTCAGTCATATGAGCTTACTGATATGGAATGAAATATGTTATGTCTGAAGAATACTTAACTCTTTCGATACTAAGAAACCATCAACCAGATTATGCAAGTAAGAACACTTAAATGACTGTCTGTGTATGAATGAGCTCATTTATACATTTATTTTACTTACACTTAAAAATCATCACAAACTCAAGCTACCTAACATACTAAACAAATTGCATAGTGAATTAATGCAGTGAGTATCATATCTTGAATGAACATTGCACTGAAATAAAATCAGTCTTCTGCTAAATTAAATATTACAATGAAAATACGATTTAATAACAAGTATAGAAAATGCATTGATTAATTGTTTGAAGGTAAATATGTGTTGCTTCATTAAAATGAACTATACCGAATCAGATTATGTGATTTTAGTAAACATTTACTGAATTACTTCCATATATATATATGTAGAGTGAGAAAGGTCACATTGATTGTCTAAGTGGTTGTTATCGAATTATTCATTTGCTCCTATCGTAGTTGCATAAATGAGAAAGACAAAAAAAAACAGGATTCATTGATTGATGATAAATGAATGATAAAATAAACAGCCCAAATGTAATATTCCCGCCTTATTTTCATGTTCAAATGTCAATCATAGTGAAATAGTCTCTCTGATTATGAATAGAAAAATATGCAGACAATCCAAATCATCAAATTAATTGTAGTAATAAAACAAAAGGAAATCACTAGATTTTTTTAACTTGTTTAAGTCTGAAAAACTCTTAATCAGCGCTTTTTTGGTCATATTCTCTATGCATTACTTAAATTGGTTCTGTATTTCAACAGATAATACTAAGTGATTGATTGATTAGTATAAGCTGAAATAATACTCCTATTAAATTGACATTATCGAAAGCATAGAAAATAGATTACGGATATGATTTTTATTCCTTGTAATACAATGAACTTTTGTCCAGTTCCTTATTGAAACTCAATTCATTATATGGCTCGTTTTATGACTATATCTAAAGAACTAAAGTTCAGTAGATTGATTAACACTTGAATGTTTTAATGAAGTGAAAGAGAAACTTTTTGTTTAAATACAGACAAAACAACGATAAAATCTCGAAATGAATCAAAATTCCAGATCTGTAGATTCTTACTTACTAGCCTGGCATTACTCTTCTTATCATAAGATCTGACTGCCCTACATATATATATATATATATATATATATATATATATATATATATATATATATATATATATATATATATAGGATGTGACCCTAAGAAAATCAATATTTTAGTTATTATCTGTTATAGAATAAAAATGGTCGAAATTAACAGTTTATTATTGGCATGTCGAAATGAATAATAATACACTCTTAAAATCATACTGATTGACTAGGGTGATATAAATTTGGCAAATCAGTAGTTAGCGAATTATTTTTATCACTATAATTATAGTACACTTTGTATGATATAATCTTTCCTGTCGAAGCGTTCAACTCTTATCGTCCATAATCATACTCAGCGATATACTGTCATGATATTTAGATATTAGGAAAGTATCGCTGGTTAGTCATCGTAAATAGATAATGAATAAGAATATATTACACCATGTTAAATGTGTTCTCAGTCTTGATATTTCAAATGTGTCATTATTTAATCCATTATGTTATATTATCACTGATTATATAAGTGAAAACAGATTAAGACACTCGGAATCATTTACAAAAAACAACATTTCCATCATTTATCAGATGGATACTGAACAACTTGATTTATTATTCATTTTAAAAAGTAGGTTATTTGAATGAATGAGGAATTTTTTTTTCAAATTATTTTATTCAATAATGATGTTTGTAGACAAGTACAAGGTCATTAATCATATTCACTACAAGGTCATTAAGAATAGTCAATGCAATAAACCAGTTTATTATACAGATCAAAATAACAATTGAATAGTTTTACTTAAACTAAGAAGTGTTAAGGTGATTTAAACAAAACAACCGAAAATTGCAAAATTCTATTCATTAGCTTAAGAAAAAATAAAAATTCTAAAACCCCATTCAAACGTTTAAACATTTTGATAAAAAAAGGAGAACTTTTTAATTTGTAGAATTCCATTTTGAAAATCTTGAACATTGTATGCAATTGTTTTTAGACTAAAGTACAAATCGACACTTTGGATATTTAAAAATAATCTAACTTAGAAATAAAAGTAAGAATTAAATGTTCTAATAATCGAAAAGTATTCGTGAAAAGTGAAACAAAACGAAGAAAAATAGACATATTAACTAGCATAAATAATAGTTTTATTCAATACATTTTATTTAAAACAAAAATATGAAAATCAACTCAGAAATTATATGAGTTTCTTTAACAAAAGTATACTGTTTGTTAACCTTTAATGCAACAAACAAATTTTATTCAAATCATTTTAATACGATTAGTCAAGTGTTGCAAATGAAACTAATATAATTTACAACACAGTTTGGTGATAAAACTGTCATAAAAAGTACAGATGTTTTTTTCTTAAGTGTACTATGTTTGTATGAAAATCAATATGCATTCGTAAAGACATAATACATACTGTTAAAATAATACTACTAACTTGTATATGTAGTAATGAGGCGAAATTATTTATCATGAGTTACATGGTTCATAATTTGGTCAATTATTATCGTGAGATTTTATTCATTTTCTAACCTTAATGTAGATATCAAAGAGCGAAAACTGGATTTTTATAGATTTGACAGCTTCAAGAAACTGTTAACTGCATACTACACTCATGATTGTTTATAAACAGCTTGATGTGATGTTGAAATGAAATTTGAACAATTTCATTGGTTTCTGAAATGATAAATTCTGCGATTTCGACAGGCAAACATTAACTAACTAGATTTTTTCACAAAGATAAAGATTTTCTTGAGACGGTGGAGAAAAATTGTAGCTCAGGTGGATTAAAGTGATGGAGTTTAACTCTGTAAGCTGGATGTTTGCTGGTTGTGGAGCTTTCATTGTTCTTTTGAAGCACATCATCAGCAAGAATTTAAGGTCAATGATAACCAATCAAGATCAAGGTCAACAGAATAAGCTACATGTCATACGTGGAGAAATTCTAATACTTCACTTCAGTCTGAAATTAGTGTTGCTGATATTGTTCAGAAAAACAATGAAAACTTCACAGCCAAAAAACCTAGTTCAGAGAACGGAACTTCTTCACAATGATTTTCTTTAAGAATTTTATTTTTGCATTAAAAAAATGAACAATCAGTTGTGATTATTATAGACGTTTTAAGCGTATATTTTCACTGCTTAAGTTAAAAATGTTGAGAAAAGTGAGATTTTTTGAATAGAATTTTTCTCACATTTTTCGGTTTGATAGTAGTCTACATTATGAACTGATACCAGCTTTATAGTTATTGAAAACCAGGAAATACTTACAGTTGCTCTTAATTTTTGAGAATTTCCATCGTTGTGCATCCATGAAGTAATTATGAAATGTATTTATGGAATTAAAATTTCAAAGCTGAAGTTTCTCGACGTATCTATATACGTCGAGTTACACAGTTGTTCATAAAGTTATTTTAAATTCCATAGATTTTGTGGTATTCTTTCAATGACTGGATATTTCCTGATTTCATCCCCTTGTGGATTTTGGGATAAGCACTAGAGAGGAAACTGAAACAAGTA